GGGTGTATCGATATGAAAAATAAGATAGTATCATAAACGATGAAAGGTACCAATCTTGATAATACTTATAAAAATACAAAAACAGGAGATGCTCTTACAATAAGTTTATGAAAAAAGGACTTTCTCGGCCTCTATTGTTATTTATATAAAAGTGTCAAGTTTGAAAGAAAAAATAATATAAAAACGGAGGCGGCATATCTTGCCTACAGGTGTAAATGTACAATACTAATTCTACCGTTTTTAAAAAAGGAGGTTATTTTCAAAGTAGCATATTTATCGAACGTATGTATCTTTTATGAGTTTGTTGATGTTTTATAACGAAAATATGTAGAATTTGGTGATTATCTGTGTGATGGTGATTATCGGTATCCGGAGCCAAAAAATCCTTAATCAACATTTCAACAAACTTCTAAATTATATACTATTTTGATAAATATAAATTTTAATTATATAATTTCACATTTTAAAAATAAATCATTTTGTAGGCAACACTATTCTATACAAGGATAACGTTGCGGGTAGGATGAATATCTCTTTATCCCTCATTAGCAACATCAACTTTAGTATATTATGATTATTTTTAGTAGGCTGTTACTGTTGCAATGACGTAAATAAGTACATAGAATTGACGCAATCTATTTATAATTAATAGCATAGAGTCCTATGCTGTTTGATAACCAGTATACCTTTTGAACGCTTTACTGACTCACAATGAAAGGATTTAATTAGTCAGGATAATTTACCGCATAGGTGATATAAATAATAAATAAAGGTTTCGAAGTAAGTAAATAAATATAATAAATGTTTAACAGCAAAACTTACAAATAACAAGGCGAGCAGAATGTCAGAATAGAAAAGAACAAAAAAATACACGAAATATGTAATAAAATCCAAAAATATAAATAAAACCCATTTACACAGTTCCGGTTTAATGGCCAGTTCGTAACAGGCAAATTAAAATCAATGTGCGTGAAAATATCTCTTTGCACTTTTAAAGGGGTATATTTTTAGATAAGTAGTCTTATTTTTATTTATTGTAAATTGTTATTTAAATATATTTTACGGATTTTGTCATCAACTGTATTGGGCTTGGCTGCGCTTCGTGAGAGTGGTCCTATATAAATCACAGGATATATCCTTTTTTATACGTATAATTCACAGTAGAAAATATACCGAAGTCAATATTATGATTTACTGTCTCTACATTAATGAATACTTTACTAATCAATTAAATTTCACTTTAGATACTTAATATGTTTTTAACGGTTTACATTTAATAATGTTGTGCAGTCCTGTAGAATAGAGCTGCTTATGTACAAAAATAAATGTCTCTCTCTATTTTTTCCCTTTAAACAAATCTTACTTTTCTTTTGTTTATTGTATTTCATAAGTAATTTTGCTTAACTTAATATTCAAATAATTAAATTCATACATAACATTTTTATTGGGATAGTTTATTATTTGTCCTTTTGCATATCGCAACAAAGGACTGACCTAATATAGTTGAGGGAATATAGTCTGAAATGGGGGAGTATTTTATCCGGGAAAAAATATAAAGTATTTCCCCTTGATCATGCGAGCGTATCCAGGGCATTAGTTTAAAAGACTAAGAGCCAGTTGAACAAACGTCCAATAAAAGAGTCATAAGTTTAAAGCGACATTACCCATACAAATTTAACATTCAATAAAGCCTAAAGGCGTAATTTAAACCTTAATGGACGTTTGTGAAACTGGCCGTTAACGTTACGGGTTATGTTGCTTTAAACTAATGTAATTTTTAATGAACATTTGTGCAACTGGCTGCAAATTGTTGTTTTTATTAGCTTCCTCATAAACTAAGAGGCACGTTCTATTGTTTTGCGTCATAATATACAGTTGTATCAACAGGTGTTGCAGCACTTACAGCCTATAGCTAATAAAGATCGTTAATTAAATTATATTTACAGAATGTCGCCAACTTATTGTCTGACATATTATCGTCACACGTATATCGTCTTCCTCAGGATCTACTGAAACTTTTTTTTGCAATATGTTTAAGATTGTTATGAAAAAAATATAGTACTTGCATTATTTAGCATTCCCGTAAAAATCATTAAAATCGCTTCATGAAGATATCATGGTATATATAGATCGAAATGCCAAATTATTTCTAATAATATAAAAAATACAAAGCATGTTAATTTGGTAACCATTACAGGTTATAGTTTAATGGCTCATTTATTACTAAACAAATTCTAGATCAAAACCTCGAGGCACTATACTACAAGAAGTTTTCTGATTTCATGAGAACAAAACAATATGACATCATATTGTATGTGTTTCCCTTTGCATTCCCAAGTAGTTACGAGCTACGAGAGAGGCGGGTTGGAGAAAGCTTGTCTTGTCTCGCCACACCTTGCTGACTTTCCTATTCACTTATCTGAAGGGCACATATTTAACAGAAAAGCTTTTAGTAGCAGTAAATCGTATATCCAGGAATTCATGTTCGAAAAACATAAGTAATCAGACTACCGATGCCGTAAAACATAGGCAAGTCTGAATTCATAATTATGGAACGTTTCAGCTCATATTGGCGAAATCCATGTTATCACGCTATCTGTGAGGATAAGCAAACTGTTCAGCAGTTTTAAGAACCCAACAAACATAATACTTTTTTATTTACTAAGACACAGTTTATTTTTATTTACTAAAACAAAGAGTGCTCTAACTGCAGACGATTTCTTTATCGATAAATGGCACTAATATCACAAAAAGAATGCGTAAACCAAAGTATGTGGAAAATAAATTTTCGTATGTGGTTTTTTCAGAATCTATATGCTAAGATCTGTTTATTTTTGGGTCGATGCTATTCTGTTAAAAATATAGCTTTTAAACCTTTTTTTAATTTTCTGTTAACATATTTACAATTTGAATTGCATTTTTTTTTCAAGAATATTACAGGGTTCTTAATACCAAAGTTTTATTGTGCAGTTACTATAAGTTTCTTTTTCTTGTTATTAAAACATCAAATCCATATAAAAATTTACGTTTATAAATTAAATTGTCTTCATCTCATTTTTTCACACCGATATGCATTAGGAGTTAAAAATAAAAAAGCTCAGGTATTTCACCGCAGATACGAATAATGACGTGTTTGGAATTTGCGGTCCCTTCACGCGCTCAAGGCATGTCCCGTCGTCATTCACTATGTGCAAGAACAGTGAACGGCGTTTGCATTTTTATTAAATACACTTCCAAAAATCATATTTTTTACCAGTCAAAATAAAATTGAGACAAAAGGTTTTTGATATTCGACAGCTCATATACAATATATAATATATGCGAAATAGTTTGCTAATATTCATTAGCGATTGGAAAATAATAACAGTCTGTATAACTTGACAACAATATAAAATGAAAATAAATCTAAATATCCATTATGTGGCTTTATCATGGAAAGAATATTGTTGACGACAGTTTCACCAGCTTTTATAATTTCTAATTTAATTTTTTATGACTTTTGTCACTTTTTCTGTGTTTTTGCTATCTTGATGTTATGTGGCGTGTAAGTATGTACATCTTCAAAAATGTATATTTATCTTGCTAATTTAATCTAAAGTCTACGCTCCGCTGTCGTTTACAAAATAATCTTCATTTTGTTGATTAAAAACGTGGATCGATACTTATAAAGCATCTTATTCCAAATGTCCAAAAACCAATTCTATCAGATGTGAAGCTCTAAGTTACAGTATATTTTAGACCGCGTATTGCAAGACGAACACTTATTGAGCTCAGTATCAACGCCTGTTTCGCATAGTTATGACCCATTACAACCGTGCTGTCTGCGCGACTGCATGCGTAATTACCATATAGAAAACGCCTGATGATGAGTCACATCACAGCCAATAACCAATTAAAATGTTACTTGTAAGACGTGTCCCTACGGGTTCTGATTGACATTCTTATATAGCACCGTTTCCTGTTGAAGTATTGAATTATGTTGTAAATAAGATAAGATACGCTTGTTGTCTTAGAATGTTTGGCATTGATTATGATATAACAGGTACAATATTATCATAATACGGTTGTAATATCAGTGTTTTTGTGATAAGCTTGTACTGACATAGTAATCCACTATTATATTAAGTATTTCTGAGTTAATTCTGATCATCAAGTGTAAGTGTTGAAACTATGAAGGTTATATATGGGCTAGTAGCTTTCTGCTAAGAGTGTGGTCCCCAGGTAACTAAAAGCTGCGTCGGCATTGTCCCTATGCAACTAAGAACTTTGAACCAAGTGGTCTCCAGGGAATTAAGAGCTTGCTTTCTAGGGAAATGGTTGGTAATATAAAAGTATTCTATGCGTTAATTCGGGCTCAGAATTACCCGTAAACCAAATTTCATGAAAATCCGTTCAGTAGTTTTCATGAAAGAGTAACAACATACATACACACATCCCTATACTGTCGCATTATAATATTAGTGCGATAAAATCTTCTTGGTTTTTTTAATCTACACAGGATCCAGATTGAGCATCCCATTGTACGTACCTAACTGTATAGCTGAAACCAGAATTCATTCAGGATAATGTTAACTATACTACGTAATTAATCTATTTTAAACAGATTATTGTGTATTATATTACTATAATAACAAACACTAGGTAATTTATTATTTTAGCTGCTTTATTTATTATTTTCTAAACTATGGCTCGCTATGATTTCCAATAAAATAAATTGGTACGTTTAGAAGTGCTGGTGAATTAGTGTCTTAATTTTACTCGGTCAACAATCTCAGTCTGCATTTAGTCAGCTAATTTATCAGTGATTGAAAAAGCCGATCTTTCTAACAACAGTAGGTGAATTGGTTGGGTAAATTGATTTAAGATTACATTTTACGTGACGTGACTCTTTTTCACATTCACAGTGACTGCATCCACCAATAAGTGACCACCAAGTTCATCAGTTTCATGTGTATCGATCATTGAAATGTCTCATTTAAGTGAAATTATAAAGCTGTAAAATGGTAATAATTCCCCCTGGTATTGTTCTCCACGATGGGTCTTCGTCATTACTTATAATTTTGGTAATAACTACTTTCGCTTGAACTTGGCTTGACACACTACCGCGTGCCTTGATAATGAAAACATTGTAATGTTTTTCACGAGTTTATTTAACAATGTATTTTTATAAATGTGATAGATAAACATCCCCATTTTTTTTCATTCATCGATCTTAATTTCCATCGATCACAACACAATTTAATATTAGCGATTTACTTGTCTTTAGTGCTTTTAATTTCCCTCTTAAAAACATAGGAAAATCTCAAGACCGTACCGATCGAAGTTTTAGTGCTTTCGCTAATTTTAATAAATAGCATGTTTCTGTTACGATAATTTTGCTCAATGTTTGCGTGTGTTAAATTACGACGAACGAATATCTATATTTAAACCTACGGTGAATTGGTAATTGTACACAATTTTATGTAAACGTTACCGCTTATTTTTGCATCTTTTTTAACATGATTAACCAAACTAAACGTCCCATCGCGGCTGTTCCCGTGGGAATCTAGGGGTTTTTTTTTATATTGTCATTGTGTAAAAAAATTGAGACTGTTGATCGACTTATATCCAAGTTTAAAGGTAAATAATAGGTAATAATAGGTGTGACATTATTGCGTTACTGTTCTGTTATTAATATTCTCCATATTTAAATCAACCTTTTCATGACATCTTTGTCTAAGTCATGTGTAAGTTTGTTTACATTTTCTTTTTATTTTATTTTTTTACCCAGAAACAAAACAGAATTTTTGCTCTTAATAAGGAAAAACGGAAATCTTATAGCGTCACTCGGATAGTCTGTCTGACTGTCCCTCTGTTAAAGCTGAAAAAAAACTACTAAGCCAGTTCAGGTGAAATTGACAATGTCAATATAAATTTAATTATTATTAACAAAAAATTTACAATTTTTTTTTAAATACCTATAAAATATTTGTTCTTAGGTAAAGAACAAATATATTTTTAAATACCTATTAAATATTTGTTCTTTGCAAGCTACTCATTGCAAGAAAACCTATTAAAAGTCTAACGTCTTAACCCGTAAGAGTAAGTTTTTGAAATAGCTGCTTAAGTTATGACATTTTTCAAGTTTTTTTTTTGGGTTTTTTAGGCTGTGAAAGTTAGACAGTTTTCACTGATGATATATTTCTTTTGCCGCTTCAACAACAAAAACATACTAAAAATCAGCATAAAATAATTATTTAAGACGGCTCTCATACAACAAACGTGCTTTTTTGTACGGAACCCTTCGTGCGCGAGTCCAACTCGAACTTGACCGGTTTTTCTATTATTCCATAACCGTTACTTCGCGTTAGTCGTTAGGAAAGTTAAATACTACTTTAAATTACTTTAAAATGTTGGACTTATGATGTAAGTGTTTGTTTCACTAGCTTTCGGAATTAACGCGTCGTTAATGTGAGTTGATATGGTGCTGTGGTGCTATAAATGTAAAAAAAACTTCCTCGGCAGCATTCAAAGCGGTGTTTTAAAGTAGTGTCACACGCATGTATGGCACGGGGTCAATGCCCGGTGTGCCATTATTCAACTAGTCGTTGTTTATCTTTGTTTCAGATTCGATTTTAGAATAATATTCCTTTAATAAACAACTTTCTTTGGTAGATTGCTCATTGAATTTTACAAGCAACGCCTAATTTTTATATGCTTAATTTATACTCTATTACGTCATTGACTGCGGAGTTCCGATTTGTAAGGTTTGTGAAAGTGATCGTATATTAAAATATTTAGGTTTAAATTGTCTGTGTATCCTATGACGTAAAACCACCACTAAAGTTTCTCACTTTAGCGGTTTAAAAAAGTCATATTCATGGTGATAATTTAAAATTTATATTATCTGTTTGCATAACGATAAGATTTTTGTGAATATCTATATCGTTACTTAAGGTATCATAAAAATATTAACATACCGGGAAATTTACCGTTTCCTTTCTTAAAATCTCCTGATAAAAAAATTATAGGTTTTTAGATTTTTATCTAAGTCATTAAGTGTCATATCGTGATAACAATAAGTTTGATTATACTATCATCGATGACAGATAATGTTTATCATTTCTTGTATTGTGATCCTTTTTTAGATACCGCAGATTACAATTTCGAATGGAATAATCAAAATTAAATGGATTAATTTATGTACGCCAAATAGTTGAGTAACATCTATTTTTACGATTTCTTATAAATAAAGTCGATATTTATCAACGCATATTTTAGATTAGCTAAAATAACGTTGTGATTTCAAATTTTAATAGATATTTTAATTACCATCGGTTCAAAACAACTTCAATGTCGCGTTTCGTTTATGACATCAGTACACAAATCTGTCGATGATTCGTTACATCGGTCTTCGAAACGAGTAACTGCTCTTATGTAGGCAGGTAGAGTTGCCAGTTGAAAAATTAAACACTCCATGTTTTCCAAGAAAAGGTCAAATTATCCCAGAAACATCTAAAGATTTAGACAGTTTGAAAATAAAAAAAAAGGAATACTTAAAATTTGTTTCACTTTCCAAGTTGATGAGCTGGAAGTAGGGTTGTCAAATACAAGCTTAACATTTCCCTGATAATTCTGTGATAACGGATATGGGATGTATTAATAAATATTGATATGAAGATAAATAGGAAACATTACAATTCATAAGTGATGTAGTCGGTGTACAAGTTTTTTAGTGGAACAGCTATTCTGTTAAAAACACTCTCAAATTCGTCGTCAAGGGCAGTGCTGTCACGTCATAGAGCTTCAATAAAATAAAGCCATTTTCAATTCGTTTTTAGTTGATCAAACGCAGCGCTGGTAGTATGGAGATACTACCAGCGCTGCGCTCGTAAACGAACATGAGGTTGTTTTTATAACATAGCATTGCTGCTTTGATCTTCATTAAGTTTTTGCTCGACCCCTATTCTCATAGGTAGGATAAAAACGTGTTGGCATCATCGTATAGTTGTCCACTTTTAACGATCTGTTCTATTAAAGATATAGTGAATTAACTTGGAAACTTAAAGATATCTTAATCAAATTACATTTTAACGTTATTTTAATTCGTTTTTAACATACTATTCTCCGTCATTATAGGGTTATAAGAGGTATGTAATTTGTGATATCATTATGAGTAAGATGATTCATCTAATGACGTCTAATTGAAGAACTACATTTTATAAATGCTCTTTTGGCATTTATATGTACGCACTAAAACGTAAATAAATACATTAAAAACATTTAAAGTATCTATAATCTAAATTTTCTCTAACAGTTTTGTCTAAGGTTGGAAGACAGTTTTTTTAAAGACTTTATTTAATTAACTTTCATTTCAAACAACAACAAAAAAAATTGAAAGTTGACACGATTTTTTCAAATTGATTTGCTGTTTAACATTATAGATGAATCTAATGATTCCATTGGAGTATGTTGCACGATTATTGAAGTACAAACGTCTGTCGAGTAATTGACCAGGCACCATTTCAATACCGAGCGACTGACGCTCGATGGCAGCTCGAGAATCTCGAATGTTTCCGGTGCCCCTTGAACGATGTTATTTTTTTATTAGGTACCATATCTTTAGTACTTTAGATGATTGTAATTTTCACATCACTTAACATAAACATTGTTTTATTTTTATGATGATTTCCAAGCGTCATCTGTAATTAATATATGAGCGAATTCGAAAGAATAACCTAAAGCTACTATTATTTAAGGACTATTGTAATGCATAAATTTATTGATTAAAAGATTATTCGCAAATCTAACTGCGTAACTCGCTAAGTTCAGAAACGCTAGTATAAGGTTATTGCCAAACTTGACATTATTTTACCCTTTTCTGTTCCTTCCTTATGAATACCTACTTTTACTTGCTTTCTTTCTTAACAATCCGTCTGTCCTTTCCCTATTTCCCTTCTATTCACCCCGAGGATTCTAATGGAGGCAATCTGATCCTATCGAATTGCGGGGCAACTCTTGCCACCAAGATTTTTTATGTACAAATACGTACATATTTACCCACAAAATTTAAGTAGCACAAATAGTACTTAAAAACCAAAGTCAAAAAATACACTAAAATAAATATCATGGATTTGTTTTAAATAAAGATATATTACAGTTAATGTATAATTAATTATTTTATTAATAAAGATTTTCCAAAAAGTAATTAACAATGAATTTATAATAGAACACCATTTAATAGGCGAGAAAAACACGAGATAGATAAAGATTTATTCAATTAATTAATTAGACTTAAGAGTATAATTGTGAGAGACTTTCCTGTTAAAACATTGTTCGGTCAACTTGAATAATTTCAGATTTTATCTTTATCTGTGTTATTTAGAGTCGTGTCCTATGAAATGTTTACAAAATGATAATAAAAATTGGTTGATCTCGATGTTCATTGATTCATGCATCCGATCTGTGATAGTGGGGTTTAATTAACTTTCGCAAAAACCTTAGTTGAGTAATCAAAATGATCGAGCTTGTCTCTTGGTTCCAAATATAATAACATAACCAATACAACAAAACTTTATAGATGTTCTACCATTTACCAATCAGCTGAGTTATTCTGTTCAAAACTAGCCTTGAACAATAAGTCTAGCATACCGCTATGATTGCATAAAGCTTCAATGGAATAAAACCTTTATTACCTTCTAGAGTAGGTTTTATTTGATTGAACCTCTATTAAATTACAATATTCGACTTCTTATTCAAGCCCTGTATAAATAACGAAATAGTACTCCTGCATTGAATCTGCATAGGTGCTCCTAGTGGAAAGCTAGCCTTATGGGACTCATAAGGAAGGCTAGCTCTCCAATTATGATGATGAAAGAAAAGAATGATCTTCTATTTATAAATAATCATTTTCATGACACTTACAAAACTTTAATTATGGTATTAAATATTTGTTATAAAACATTACATTTTAAATAACAATATATTTTTGTCTGCAGTTATCAGAAGAAGTGCAGAGGAAGCAGAGTGAGTACCAGAAGTGCCTCGAGTCATACAAGCAGATGAGGACGAAGTTCGAGGAGAACTACCTTAAATGTAAGTGTAAGTCCAATATTGTATCACCTTATTAATTATTTATATATTAATCTGCAAACTAATCAAATTGTGATGTAGGAAGATAAAAAAGGCAGCGGTTGTGGCTCAGTCTTAGGTGGTTAAGAAGAATTTTTCTACTATATATCTAAATGTCGAAACAGAATTATCAATTAAAAACTATAAATGAATGAGTGACAAGATACTTTGTTGTCAATTTTAAATTACATTATTTTTCAGCACATTCTACATTAAACATAGCCTATGTAAATCGCATATGATGTAGCTACCCGTAGTGCATGAATTTTGTTAATCGGTCCAGTACTTTCGGAGCCTATACGATGCAAACAATATCTTTCGTCTTTATAATATTAGTATGTACTAGTGTTGCATGAACTATAATAGTAAATTTATTTTCAAAACACCAACAGTCTAATAAAACGAGGACAGAGGAAGCATTTTGACAATGACAGAAGAGAAAATTCGAATTGAGACTTGTTGTAAGTCAATTTTGCTCGGATAATGGTTTAAACCTGGTACTGAAGTTAGTTAGCAGCTCGGTGGATAAGTATGTATGGGTGACTAAAAAATACTAGCTACTCCGTGCTTCGGGAGGCACGTTAAGCCATTGCTCCCGGTTGCATTTGCAGTTGTTAATACCCTTCAATGCGTATTGGGCCCGTGTGGAGGGTTATGGCCTATCCTCATTAATCATTATAATGGAAAGTAAGAACCCCTTCAGTAGAGACAATGACTAAAGTTAGCCCTCGTTTCACAATAAGGAAGCAAATGTCTACATTGCTAAAATTACTAAAATGTATGTTTATTATTCCAGGTCCAACTAGTAGAGGTGGTCGTAAGTTAGACGAGACTCGAGATAAATACGGCAAGGCGTGCAGGCGACTCCACAGGGCACACAACGAATATGTCCTCCTGTTAGCTGAAGCTACCGAGTGCGAGAGGGCTCTGAGAACGGCTGCCCTCCCGGCGTTATTAGATCAGCAGAGGAGGCAAGGAGAAGCGACTGCTACTTCATGGTAACATTTTTTTTTATTCATTAATTTTTTTTAAAGGCTTAACATCATAGTATTGTTGTCCATCCCTTTTTTCTTTCCTATTTTAAAAGGGTAGGTTGATGGCGCTGTGGTAAGTGCATTCTCTCTGCAATAAGGTTATTAAGCAGCTTTCGCAAAGGCTGGCCATCGTCATGGGTGACCAAATATTATTATTATCTCGAACTCTTCTGTGCTTCGAAAGGCACGTAAACCCGTCGGTCTCGGCTGCATCTGCAGTCGTTAACAGCCACCAATCTGCAATGGGCCCGCGTGGTGGCTCATGACCCTGGCCCGTGGTGTATCCATCCATAGGGCAGGGCTGAGCCCCAGCAGTTGGGACAGTAATAAGTACACGATGATGATTATCGCTTGTATTTTAGAAAAAATTAAAGCATTTTTCAGATGTTTCGTATTATCAAATAATTATAATACCGGGTATTAGATGCGATTTAACACTGACCTGCGCCTTAAGAAGACCACCAACATTTTTGTATTAAGTGAATATGGAACCTGCAAAGGATCCGAATATACACGCAATAAAACCTATTTCAACTACTTTTATTTATTGAACATTGATATAAGTTATGGGACATATTCCTTATAAATTAAATTCATAAGACGACGTTAAAATTACTAGAAACCCAACGTTCAAATTTTGATAGAGGTGCTAGACGGTCTGCGATGCGAAAGTTCACCTACGAGTAGCAATTGCGTGTGACATATCCTAAGTATAAACTGATAGTAGTCTGAATTTTAGGAAAGTGAATATGGAATGGTTGATATTTTATCTCACTGAATAAGTTAATTAATACATAATTAATTCTGTACAGGAAAGGGATATTATTGGAAGTGGTGCAGCGCGGCGACTTCAGCACAGAGAAGTTCAGGGAGATACAGAGTAAGATCGAGACCACTGTACAAAATATAAGGCCACAAGACGAGTACAAGGAATTCTTAGAAAAGTATAGGTACGATTTTTAAATTATAAATACAATGGGTACCACTTGGAGTACGGTATCCATATATAAGAGATACGTTCTACAAAACCGAACCTTTTCGAACAGGCAATGTGAAATATTATCACCGCAGAGTACAAAAACCTGTATGCGTAGAAGTGTGACGTTTTAACGTCTTTTAATTATTCGTTAATGATTTTCAGTCTTAGCTATGTATCTTATTAGAACAAAATTTAATGAAAGCTTTATTGAAATGGAAATTAGTACAAATGGGGGTACCCATTAAAATTGCATTTCAGTAGAATTGTCTTTAGTTATTAAATATTGAACTCGGCATTAAACTTTAATTTATGGTTGTGCAACTGACGTTTAGTCTATCAAGTTAATGTTTCCATAGATCACCATCATCCACTCCCGTTGTCTTTACATTCGACGAGAGCTTAGTGGAAGACACGAGTGGAAAGTTGCAGCCGAACCAACTGACCGTAGACAACTTAACGGTAGAATGGTTGAAGGAGAAACTCACCGAGCTAGAGTCGACTCTCCAAGACAACAGAGAGAAGCAAACCGCATTACAAGGACCTGAGATTATAGGCAATGGTGTCTGTAAGAATAATAACACCGGACTCACTAATGGTGTCAACGGAATTGACAGGTAAGGACTAATGAACCTTATAACAAAAATATCTTCTAAAGGAGACACTCTCATCACATAGTACCTATTATAATTAGGGCAGTCTCAAATGTGTAAAAAATCATAAAGCCTTAGTAAAATGCATACTTATGTGACAGATTACCTAACCTCTGATTTGAGATTGAGATCTTGACCGAAATATTGACCTAGATTGAGCTTTCCGCCAGCGCCTTGACCCGCGTGGTCCTGTATTATACCCGTATTCTCTGTACCTCTGGAATCACTCCGTATATTGATAAAAACTGCATTCAAATCCATTGTGTAGTTTAGAAGACCTCAGCGTACTGACAACAGGGACCGATTTTGTTTTATACTATGTTTCGAAGTAGAAGAAACTAAATTATAGCTATATTTTACAGGCATTCACCACCACCAATTCCTGTGACAACATCAGAACCGGTCAAGCTACTAGAACTGCGTGTAGCAGAGCGTAAATGCGCAAAACAAGCCGAAATGATCCGATCGGCTCTCGCAGAGCTTGGCTGTGAAGAAGCCCCTAGTGGCTGCCCGGACTTGTCCGCAGAGACAGTCGGCGTCGATAGCTTGGATGGGAGTTCGCCTGATCATCAGGTAACTATATCAACTCTTTATAATTAATTAAATAAAACCCTGTAGCACAAACAAAACTATTGTAATGATCATGAAGATTTTGTTATTGAGATCCTACATTAAATTATCAGGACCGTTCATCGATCAACTCAAAAGCGTCCATGGATACTCTACGGTTGCATCTCCATTCTATAATACCACCGAAGCCATTCTTCAGAATATTTACACGACCGTTCAGACGCAAATCTGTACCTTCTAGTCCAGCTCTACCTCCTAAGACTTACAGAAGCAGCAGCGAGGGTCCGGCCGATACGGTAAAAGTACTGGCTCTCCCCAAGAGACGGATGAAGTTGTTGAAGCGCCGTTTGCGCAAACGCATGGACGTTTATGTGCATTGTCGTGTAGAAAGCGCGGGCGTTTTTAGAAAAAGACGGAAGAGCCGCGGCTCTGTTGTTAACTGTTCTAACAGTGTGGTGAGTGCCATTAACCGCGTAGCAGACACGCGCATGGCATGTGATTAATGCATGATACTTCCCTCCACACAAAAAATCTCTCTGCAAATGTCTTAAGTGTGGCAGTTAATTTTAGCGGCACCGTGCACCGCACGAACTTCGCTCCGGAATAAGCTTTAGAGTAAAATTAAAATAGCACAGACTCACTAAAATTCAGTTTCAAAATCAAGGTGAAGTCGCATGCGACGTTCCAGAAATGTTACACTGTTTACAAGTCGATCGAACACGCATAATTTGCGAGATTTACGTCAAATTCATCCTATTTTTTTGGTGTCCGCGTTGTCCTAACGGTGTAAAGAGATAATAAAATATAACGATTATGTTTTCTGAGTGGTCGTAAAGTCGGATATTGAGGAATGGATCCATTTGCTATGTATATCGTGCGTTCAGAGTTGCCACCGCCAATTGTTGTGCCACGAAGGAAGAAAAGATTGAAGCAATTACAACTCGAATTGGCGAACGAACTTGTAGGTTACCATGCTTTGACTGTGTTACTGTGTGCTATGTCTCAATTAGAGTTCAAACCTGAAGTTGATAGCTTATAATGAGGATACATAATTGATAAAAGGAAATAGTCTATTCTGTTCATCAACTACAGATTTGAAGTCGACGGCATGATTTTTAAAATGTTTTTTTTTTGCAGCATTTTTAATATCTGAAAATTATTTAACCTCATTTGTTTGTAGATTGTTTTGATGTGTCTCATTATTAATAACATTAATGACTTGATTCCTACTAAGCTTTAATAATATATTTACTTAGTTCTCCCTATGTGATTCTATAGGGAAGGCCTAAACTCCAGCTCTTTAACAGGCTGATGACAACGATATTCGAATCATGTTACTCGATCAAAATAGTTTGATAATAATATTGAACATTATGGATTTCTTATATAAAAAACAAAGGAATCAATTAGAAGTACTTACAATTACTGAAAACATCCAAAAATTTTCTATCTTCTACTTTAAGAATCAATATTATAAATCAAAAAATAACACTTGTATTTATCCTATTTAGGTGAGCGTGAGTGAAACGGAACGATCTCTAGTGGAGCAAGAGTGGTTCCACGGTGTATTACCGCGGGAGGAAGTGGTGCGATTGCTGCGAGCTGACGGTGACTATCTCGTGCGCGAGACTACAAGGAATCATGCGCGACAGCTCGTGCTGTCCGTATGCTGGGGACAGCATAAACACTTCATTGTGCAGACTACGCCTGAGGTAAAAAATTTAGAACGTTTTTCTTTTCTTTCTGCTGCTTCCAAAACGCTCAGTGGCCGAGAGTATGTGAGGAGTCTGTAACTTGGCAATTTAAAATGGACACAAGAAAGTAAATAGGGATGATTCCTGAGTAAAAAAAAAACATCCAGTTGCACAAACGTCGATTAAAATTGTCATTACTTTAAAGCGACAGTTTCGAAATAAATTTGAGATTCGTTAGTGCTTAAAGGCGTCATTAAACCTTGATGGACGTTTGTGAATCTGACCATTAGTCTGTCAGTTAGATATTAGAAAAATATTAGATATGTATTTTTTACTTCAATTTAACAAGAAATAGCTTAGATAACAGGCAATAAAATTGATGAGTGGAGGCTCACTACGTCACAGTTATGTAGAAAATGTACAAAAGCGTGATGTAACAATTTAACTCGAATGTATCGTATTAATTTAATGATTATGCAAAAACAATAGTCTACCTAACGGACACAATAAAGAATAAATTAACATCCCTATTGCTGCTTTAGTATCCTACAATTTCCGTTTATATCGTCTAGTACGAATCCTCTTATTTCCGTTTAGTACGAGTATTTCAATTGTTAATTTATGGATCTGCCGTACTACCCACGGAGTCTTTGGGGATTGCAATTTTCCAGAACAACGTCACGATAACAAAACAGCAGAATTACGTATGGATCGTATACCGTTTTAGAACTGTTGACGTAGGCTAGGAACGATGTATACGTCGGTAACTACATATTTATTGTAGTTTCAGTAATATTTAGTATAGTTCTGGTAATATGTGTGTAAATTATTAAAATCTATACTAATAAGTAGGGGAAGTCCGAGAGACTTGAACCTCTTTTTACTTGAATTATCATATCTCCGTATACATTTGTTAGATTATAATTTTAATTCATGTATAATTTATATAGACTTGTTTTATTTCATCATTACTTTTTAAATATTTCAATACTGTAAATTGCTAAGCAGATTTGAAGTAAAAATGGGAAATGGATCAACTCTTCCCACTATGAAGGACATATGATCAAAAGTCTGAGGAAACTCATTATCAGAGGTTTTAGTAATTTTTCTTTATTTTTTTTGTTATCATCTTTCTATTAGGGTCTTTTGCCTAGTTTTGCTTTCATATATTTATTATTTGGAATTGATACTTATTGTTATTCTCAAAAATTATAAAAACTATTCTAAACGTTATTTGCCTTCTGTTCACTTGTTTTATTAACATTTATAATATTTAATTGAGTGCAAGTAGTATTATGGCAGAATAATCATCACCACAGATGGTATAATTAACCACTGATGTCTTCACCAAGAACAGTGGTTCAACTCTCTACATCATTTCGACATAAAATTTTCATTGCAGAAAAGGTATTCAATTACTGTTAAAAAAGTTAACATACTTCAAACTAGAATATTCGGCAAACACGAGCTGAAGAGTTTGTTTGTTTGGTTGAACTGGATCGAAAGTTACGCAAAAATCATTTAATCACGAAATGTTTCCCCTTTTAAAAGTTCTAAAAAGAGTCCGCGACAACATACGTCTATCTTTTATTTTATTCCAATATGTGAACTATTCTGTATTCCGGGTTTGGGTGGTGAGTTACTTTAATTATTTCAGATTTTTATAATATAATACCTTAGCTTACTAGTATCATTATATATTAACGGTCAGTTGCACATTGGTCCATTAAGATGTAATGACGCCTGTAGCTCTAATGAATGTCAAATTCGTATGGGTAATGAAGCTTTAAACTAATGAACATTTTAGTGGAAGTTAATGAAACCTGCTGTAAGCTATTAAATAACATTAAAAATTGTTTATCGAAGGTTAAATTAAAGGTAAGCGCGTTCGGTTTGCAATAGCAAAATTTAAGCAACTTTCGCAAAGGTTGGTCATTGGATGTATCTCGATTTTCTAAGTTACGCTAAGAAGTAAGTTGCGGCTGCATCCACTTATCGTGATAATCTTTAGCACACTAATCCACACTGCGCTCGAGTGTCTCCCTATCTGATTCCATTGTTATAGAAGGTGCTCGAGCAACTGCTACAGGAAATTTATACGCTGATGATTTATTTATAAGAATTATAATAATCATCATCATCATCAACCCTTTTACGGGTCCAGTGTAGGGGCTCAGGCCTTCCTTATGGATACTTAAGGAGATTGGGCCATGATCCTCCACGCTGGCCCAATGTCGATCGGAGGGTATTAACGAATGCAAATGCAGCCTGGAGCAATGGCTTAACATATCTTCTGAAACACGGAGTAGCTCAAGATAATATGTTTTTAGTCACCCATCTCGTGACCGACCCTTGCGAAAGTTGGCTAATGACAACGATCGCGGGCCGCGGCGCTTCTCCTACGCCGCCGAGCTACTCGAGGCAAGAGTTATAATATATTCTTAATACACAATGCTTAAAAAATCCACATGGTCCCTGGCACCCTGAGATGGGTCAGGGACCAAGTGGATCAAGTGCCAGGGACCAAGTGGATCAAGAATATATATCAGTATAGCATTGTGAATGCCAAATTTATCAAATATAATAAGAGTTATATAATAACCAAAGTCTATCTTGCAGGGTCATTACCGCTTCGAAGGTGCGGCATTCCCTTCAGTGGCGGAGCTGATAGCGTGGCAGCGCACTAGCGGCGTGCCGGTGACGGCCCGCTCCGGTGCTCTGCTGCGCCGCGCCGTGCCGCGCGAGAACTGGGAGCTGAACAACGACGACGTGCAGCTGCTGGACAAGATCGGCAGGGTAATCATACGTTTACAACCTTTTGGATATAATGCTATAATATTTTTCACTTAACATGGGTCCTGCAAATTAATTATGCTCTGGAACCTTGACTAAATAACACCCACGTAAAATGAGTATAGAAAGGATAGATAGCACAAAATACAAGAGAAAAATTATTATCGTTTTAAATGTTAATATTGAGGTATATTATAAACAACAAAAAAAAAAACAATTACATCGCTAAAAGTAATAAGGAAGTATTTAAAGAAAAAAACATTTGTTCCCGAAATCAAACGAACTGTCGCTACGGTATGTTCTTGATTTCTCCATGACGACACTTCCGGTTTTCTTTCACGTATAAAAGTAAAATAATTTTCAAAACTCAATAAACAACTCATATTCCATTTGTACTTTTTCGTATTTGTATTGATATCTAAGTTTCGAACTTTGCAAATTTCAGTTTTTTAATATGTTAGTTAATAAGAACGGAAATGATTATCTTTGGTACATTCGTTTCCTGCAAAAATCAATTTTTGGTAGAGTCGCCATCTAGTGAGGTGCTTTTATTAAGTGCTTTCTTCTTTTCTTAAAATACTTCCTCATTAAGAAAGGAGAGATTATTTTTAATGCAATTAGTGTTAGTTGTTGTGGAAATCATAATATCAGTTGCTATTTTAGTCGACGATAACAAAAATAGAAAAAATATATATATAAAAAATTTATGTGAGCTCAACACAATTCAACTCGATACGTGTACTCGTCAACCAGATTTTATTTGTTAACGGTACTGATTGTTGAACATAATTACATCACCAAAATGGCGGCCAGGCGCATCGCGGGGATTATACGGTGATGTTTGGGATTTGAAGTTTTTAGTGATGTGGTAATAAATAAATATACCTATATACAAAACTCCATATTATTGTCTTCATGTCTAATAGAGATAATCGATTTTAGGTTAATCTATAAAACAATATAAGAAAAATATTTGTTCATCATCAAGATGAACCCAAGTTAGAAAAATACAAGATGGTTTTTTTGGCCGAAGGTGCCCGATGCCGAAGCCGAAGCCGAAGCTTCGGTCGGACACTACAAAATAAATGCTTTATTATTATTATTAAATTCACCTTATGATTCAAATCAAGAATCACAAGAACTAACAGGCAAGGTGAAAGCGTGATTGTCCTATCTGACGGCACTGAGAATGCTGGACTGATGTGTCTAGACCTTATTTCTAGTCTAAATTTGTTCACAACTAAGACCTAGTTATCATCATCATCAATATCACAACAAATTAAATTAATATTTATATGTTGGTGCAGGGCAATTTCGGCGATGTGTATAAAGCACGCTTGAAGACTGGTCAGGAGGTAGCAGTGAAGACGTGCCGCGTGGCGCTGCCTGACGAACAAAAGAGAACGTTCCTGCAGGAGGGAAGGATCCTTAAACAGTACCAGCATCCGAATATAGTACGACTTATAGGCATCGCTGTACAGAAGCAACCTATAATGATCGTAATGGAACTAGTCTCCGGTAAGACATCAAACATCCAATCCAATGACAATTTTTAGATGAGGGACTCACGTGTAAATTTAGGACGATAGCTCAAACAAGCACGGTGATGGAAATATGCTAATAATTAAATATATATTCTAGCTAGAGATCCAGGCCTTCACTATGGATAGAAATAGAATTACACAAAGAAAAAGAGCTATAACTCAGAAGCTGGTCCAGTCTAGTGGATATTAATGACTGTAAATGCAACAGGGACCAATAGCTAAATATACCTTCTAAAACATCCGTTCTTTAGAAAACACGTTTAGCTGAAGTCGTGGGACAATATCTATAGGTAGTAATAGGTAAATGAATAATTTTAAATTATTGGTGTCCAGGTGGTTCTCTATTAACATTCTTGCGGACTCGGGCGTCTTCGCTGAGTTCCAGATCTCTACTAGCGATGTGTCGCGACGCCGCGGCTGGAATGAGATATTTAGAGTCCAAGAACTGCATCCACCGTGATCTGGCAGCTCGGAACTGTCTCGTAGGCGACGATAACGTCGTCAAGATATCAGACTTCGGCATGTCCAGGGAGGAAGAGGAGTATATAGTCTCTGGGGGAATGAAGCAAATACCTATCAAGTGGACGGCACCTGAGGCACTTAATTTCGGTAAGTTACTGCTCAAAATAAAAACAAGAGTTTTAAGAATAGAGCCTACAATTAAGCAAATAGATTGATAATAGGGACGTCTTTTAATTTTTATTTAAAGATAGATATGTGTGTGTTTCGAAAGATATGACTAAAAGAAAACAAATATGGAAAATCGTCACGCAATTTCTTTGCATCTCATATATTGTTTTTAGTTTATGAGATAATAATGACCAAAGACAAATAAGATAGATAGGGCCGGAGGATGGCGAATTGCGGGTAAAAACTATATATAATTATTCGCGTACTATTTATGATATTTGTAAAAGTGTTACATAGCTGTAAATTTTTAAGGGGCAATACTGTGTACAACCCTTAGAAGTAGGTATAATGTTATTATCAGATTTTATTTGAACTTTATGCAACGAAGTTGCAGGAAAATAACTATGATCATATAAGGTAAAAATTATATATGTTTGCAGGAAAATATACTTCCCTTTGTGATGTGTGGAGCTACGGTGTGCTAATGTGGGAGATATTTTCCAAAGGCGACACACCATACGCAGGCATGAGCAATTCTCGCGCCAGGGAGAAGATTGACGCTGGTAAGTACAGTAGCAAACATATTTAGAATTAAAAGTTTGTGTCCGCTACGTGGTATCATAGTTTGGCCGCAATATGAACATAACAAGCAAAAACATTATTTGTATTCAATAGAAACCAGGTCCCGATCTAAGACCCCTCTTAGATCGGGGCAAGTAATACTTACGGGTTCAATTCTGAAAATAATAACGTAATTATGAAATGGAAACTTTTTTGATACAGTTCCTTATTTGTCAAACGAATCTGTCATCTTTGATTCATCAATGCGCCGTTGTATTAATAATAGGCATTTCACGAGTATCGTGTCTCTCTCACTACGAGATGTTAGAATTTCTGTGCATAACGGTAAAAAACAGTTCAAAGATTTTATTCTCAAAAAGACATACACACTAAATCCAGCCAAAACTGTTAATGAGCCTACCTACATCTTTTAATATTGGAAGATAGTTTGTTCTAAAATTGCGCTCCTTTAAATGTTATACTTTTTTTAGCATAATTTATACGTATTCGTGGTAAAACAAGTACAACTAGACAACGAAAACTATGTGTTCTTATCTGAGCCCTTTTCATGAACGAGTTGAAAAATTCTTTTAATTGAAATGCTTTTGAAGACCCATTAAAATTAGGAGAAAAGGCAAAATTATCATAAGTATGCAATTGAATGCGTTAAGATAGTCATTTGCTTACTGATTGATTTTAATTTTGTCTTAATCTTTTCTTGGTCTTATAACAGGGTACAGGATGCCAGCACCGGAGGGATGTCCAGAAGACGTGTACGCTCTGATGCTACGCTGCTGGGAGTACGAGCCGGAGAAACGGCCGCACTTCCACCAAATATACACCATTATAGACAACATTCACAACAGATAACAGCCACATTAACGGTTCAAATATGTTACAGATAAATAGAAGAAGTGATTAATATTTTATGCAAATGCAATATCAAAGATCTACCAGTTATGGTACAGGAAAAGAAGTTTTTTTATTAAAATGATTTTACCACTTTACAATTACAACGTGTTTATCTAAATTTGATTATGTGTAAAAGAAGCTGCCTATGCCATATTTAGGAGGAACAAGGAAACAAAACAAGAAGACAAATAAAAGTGACATGATATTACTTATTATATAATTTTAAGTTTTCTAGATTATAATTAATAAAATTATTTTCTTCCAATATACAATTTGAAAGTTTAACATTCAATATACATATTATACGCAATTGCTTAACATTCGTGCTGTTAAGTGAATTTTAGAACTTATAATCCATTGTTATTAAGATGCCATTTCTTCGAATTAAGTATTAGGTGAGAAATATTGATCTCTTTCGAATCAATATTTGTGTGATGTGTAAAATGTGTATAAGATTCGAGTAAAATATATTTTAATAAAATATTTGTATTTACCAATCTTAAAAATAGTTGCAAAAGCTACCTTGGGTATCCAGGCTAGACTTTTTTCATTAATTTTAAGATAGCATTGTGAATACATAGTTTACAAAAAATAATAAGTACTTGTAACTGTATATGTTTTTCACATATTATTATGAAACACTCATTTTATATGTGACATTAATATAAAGCTATTTTTATACAAAAAGTGAATTAGATAAAATGTTATTAAGGTAATTAATTATCCACAGTAAAAAATACTAAGAATTGAGCTTTTACATAATTAAAGTACATTTATGAAATATTTTTCATGTTATTGAATTCTATTGTTATGATTCTTATTAGTTTAATATAAATGTTGAGTACGCAACTATCGCCGATGGTACATTAACGGATATAAACGACTACGAACGTTTGTGGGTATTTGTTAATAATCTGAGATATATATACATGTACTATATCAAGTTAGTATGCAACCATTCTCTGCGTCGTTCCTGTTGGCGTTTAAGCGAATTAGCGGCATTCAGCATTCATCAAATTAGTCCATACTCAATACCAAACCCAATAAGTTTCGGTATTTTAATTTGTACGTATAATATTATATGATTGACTTTTGCTGGTTTTTTTTTTTTATTATTTAAATTAGCAATTAGACTTTCTTGTTTCAGAATGTCGTACATACATAGAAAGTTAGTCTGTCTGAAATAATGTAATGTAGAGTCTTGTTCCATAAACGTTTGTGCGGAAATATTGATTGAGTTTCATACAAACCTCTTTGCGATCGCTAATGAGAGTCTGCGAGAGCTACAAGAGGTCTTGTATTGAAGGTAAGTAAGCGTCAATAATTTGGTACAGGTTCTATCTCCTCAGATGATTCTATTATAATATCTACACAGATTCCGTGAGACGAAACCACAATGTACAAATTTTGGGATTTCTACAATGTCAAACTCCAATTTGTGAAGTTAAGTTTGCGTATGCGCGCCTCAACTCAAGGTCCAATAACCGTGCAAATAAAATGGCTTAACTTTGGTCATAGTATTCTTTATATTTTTATAGTCTCAATGACGACGTTTATTTTTTCTTCAACCTTTTTCTAGTAGCCGAGAGAATTTACTTTGTGTAGCTCAAATATATTGACATTCAATGAATAATTATTCTGAGGCTTTTGTCTTTGCTTCTTTGAGTGCCTGCAGCGAGGTGATTTCTATTGTAGGTAGTCTTCTCTTCTTTCGAGGTACTTTTGAACCTATCCTTCTTACCAATTTTGCAGAACCAAAGTTTTCACGGTTATCTCTGTATTTAATTGCGGTCTGTTGAACTCTTCTGGAGTACGCTCCTCTTGGTATTAATTTTTCTCTTTAGCATTGAAGTTTTTCATTCAAGTTAACACGAGTCGCTTTTGTACGTTTTGCGTCGGCGTGTATCCATCGAAACTTTTCTTAATAAAATCGTAACATATCCGGAAATAAAATAAAGGCAATACACTGAACTTGAACCTAATACTAATACCTAATTCAAGATACTTATAATCTCAAGTATTTTTAGATGTTTTATATCGAATCGTAATGTAGCTTAGTATTGATTTGATTTTATTGTGTTTTGTGGCAATTGATTGTGATAGTTTGTAACAGTGCTTCCAATATTCAAATTATGATTTCCCAACTAAGGAATTGGGATATTGTCAACCCTGGGGTAGTGATTATTTTAGATGTATTTACTTTTATATAATCCATTTATTTTTATTATTAATGTAATAAACTTTATTTTATGATTTGCATCGAAACTACCCCATAGGTCTTGCCTTAATATTGTGAATTTAAGGAAGATTTTGTTATATTTTTAAATGTAACACAAAGTGAGATATGAATACTAAAGTTTATTGAATGATTAGTGAGTACATATATTATTTAGTTTAAGACATAAATACGATTGTAAATATTTTTTCATGTCATAATTCAATAAAGTGCCAGACAATTTTGGATTCAATATTAAGCAATCGTTTTATTTTTGGAATGAATTATTTATTAGTAGCTCGGTGGCGTAGTGGATAAGTGACGCGGCACGCCATCGTTGTTGTTAAGCATCTTTTGTAACGGTCGGTCACGGGATTGGTGATCAAAAAAAATATCTAGAGCTACTTCGTGCTTTGGAAGACACGTTAAGCCATTGGTCCCGGCTGCATATGCCACAAACTATATTGCAGTCGTTTGTACCCGCCAATTCGAACCAATTGAGCCAGCGTGGAGGGTTATGGCCCATGCTCCTTAACCACCCATAAGCAAGAACTGGGCCCCTGCAGTAGGGACGAAAAGAGCTGACGACGATGATGATATAAAAAAAAATTGCCGTATTTCAACTGATATTACCGTACATTTTTATTTTTAACCGATTTAAAAAAGTAGGTTCGTAGAGAGAGTTCGTAGAAAGGAGACCATAACATCGACAAGATGTCGTGTAGTACGGGGAAGCGGGAGGGGTGGGTCAACTCGAAGGAAAGGGTAGTACTTATTCAAAAACCGCATTAGTTGTGCAACTAGAAAATTTTCAGACTTCTATCTTAGAAACGTAACGGTTTTGTAAATTTTTGTCTTATAAAGACTAAAATTTCAGAAACAATTTACTGAATATGAGAAGAAGCGAAATAAAAGCTCCATCCCTTCATAGGTATGTATGTATGTTTGTGGTTCTAAAACTTAAATTGCTAATAAATGAAACAAATAACCTTTTTTCGATTTTGTTTTGTATTTAAATAATTATCTTATTTACAAATATAGTTTTATTAATTCATCACTGACAGCAGATGGCGTTAGAATTCCTAAATCGGTGAATAACAGTGTTATATACGCAGGAGGGGTATAGTCCACTAGAGGGTGCTGCTTCGCTAGATCTTTACCTGACTTTAGAACGCTAGATAGGTATTTGAATTCTTTGGGTAAATCTCGTTGATTGAGAGGGTATATTCTTGAGAATTTGAAGCTTTCCGTTAGAACGTAAACTGGCTTCTTGAGCTCTAATGCGGCTATCCCTAGTCCATAGGTGCCAACCTGTGTATAACAATTACATAATGAAGACTTAATTAATGCTATATGACTCATATACCTACGTTGTTTTAAACTTTCATGGTCATTTATATTAGAGTACCTAACAGTTATTTTACATAATCATTCTTAATAACTTAAGTTTATTACTTTTCATATGGCGTTTCACATATCAAACTGCTATCAACAGAGCATTAAAGAAATTAAAACTAAAACCTGTTATTGCCGTTTAAGTACAGTTTGTGACGTGCTTAACTTTAAATACTCAATTCAGAAACCGGGTGTGTATGTTCAATTTCGTAAAATAACAATAGTTAAAAAAGGTTTTAGTACAACGAGTCTTGGAAACCGGTTCGATTTAAGTACAAGCGGATCTTTTTAGTCAAGGTGAAATGCCGGTTCGAACCGGTGCAATAAAAATATGGTTTACTGTATTCATTTGAACATTTTACCATTTTAGGCAATGATATCACGAACTTTAAACAAGGTTCGATGAAACAAGTGGCGCGTTTCTTTTTTTGTGATGACACGGGCGTTAAAGACATTGCACACTATAAATAGAATGATTTATATTTTAATCCTAAATATGCTCCAGATTAAGATCCTTTCCGGTACAAAACATGATATGAAAACCGGATTTACCCACATATAAACCGTTTATTACGAAGCGATCTCAACCTATGTAAATGTGGAAACAGTAGATATGCCGCCCGTGACTACTAAGTGACATATGATACAATTCCAGCTAAAATAGAACTGAAATTGTATCGTATGTTACTTTGTCGAATAGGAAAATCATTAAAAACTGTGGTTTCGTTCGGTTTCGATCCGTTATCAATTCGATTTAAACAAAAATTATTTAGTAAAATTGGCCCCCCGTTTTGTAACTCTTGTTACAAAACTATATAACTTAATTAGAACGTTTTTATTGTTTTATTGTAACACACTTGTATCACGATAATTTTCCTCTATTAGTTATGTAGTTGGAAGTACAAAGAATTTTCACTACAGGCTTATGCATTTTTCAGACAAGCACATCAATACCTATAGTATAAGTAACAGAGACAAACATAGTGTTCTCACTCTAATCCCACCACTTAGTTTTGAAAGCTAATATAAAGTTTAATTAATACATATATAAAATTAACCTAGCAGTTTTTAGTTTTGAATCAACAAAATCATGCAATGGTTGATTTCAGTACTGACTTTGTTAATGATTCCTCCACTTTCAGTGACTCCTTCAGCACCGACCATCACTATATCAATCTGTTCCATAATATAGCCCACAGCAGAGTCCAATATCAAGGTCGCGTCGATGCCTGCAGCTACCAACTGCTTATGCATAAGTTCACTATAACACAAATGGAGTAGTTAGTATAGTGACGTAGCAAACTGCATTTATGTTAAAGCAAGATTTCCAAAAGCCAAATTATAGACTTCTATAATTCAACTAGATGCTGTGTGTTCGATTCTCAAAAGCAATGAAAAGATTATAATTATTAAGCGAAACAGTATATTTGGGCTATTTCATTCCATTTTGTTAGCTCTATAAACCACTATTTATTTTCAGAAAATGGATTGAATTTTTCATTAGGAATATTTTTCAGTACAGCACTGTTAATGCATAATTGAACAAATATAATAAAATGGCAACATTTTATCAAGAATAAGTTGAGGTGAATGTTGCTAATAATAATAATAATATAATCACCCGCTATTATCTGGACATGACATTGTAACAAAAACTTCAAATCTTTTATTGGCTCTCGCAGCTTCAACCATTGCTTGTAATACTACTCTAGAACGAGAATGAGTCAATATTTTCTGAAATAGAATTAGTAACTTTGCATTGGTAAAAGGCATATTAAAGGTATTTGATTTTTAACCATTGCATTGTAAATAAGTGTAGACTCCAAGAGTATAATGTAAGGAGACCCACTATCGAAGGACACTAGCAGAGTTCTATGGTGCAGGGGCATGTGACATGAAACTGTGGCAGCTATCATAAGAGCCAGTCATACATTGGATAACCAAAAATTTATTATCTCAAGCTTCTCTGTGCTTTGGAAGACATATTAAGCCATTGGTCCCAGTTACACCAGTTGATAACACCTACCAACATACAGTGGGTCCATGTTGGGCTTTATGGCACAAGCCCTCTGCTCAATTCAATTACATCCATAGGGAAGTTATGTGCCCAGGCAGTGGAAACATTAATAGACTGATAACGATGATACTCACTATCAGACTCTTCGCGGATGTTTATTTAATTTATTTAATATCTGAGTACTTAAACATAAAGTTTTTATTTAAACTTACACAACCATCACTAATAAATGGTAAGGTTTGCTTGGCTACTTTCCCTCTTGCTTCAAGCAAAGTGTCCAAAAATATACGACCTCTTTGTAACATTATCTGTTCACATTCTTCAAAAGACTGAAAAAAAAGAAAAAAAAATACATAAATCTTTAAATGATTTCGTTTTCTGGCTATATATTGTTTATAAGTTTTCGAACTATATATTTACATAATATTATTGTTTCTGAGGCTTGGCAAAGTTAAGAACAATAAACAAGAAGTGATCTTTATATGCCTCTTTTGTTTTCTTAAGATACATTGCTCTTTCCATAAACAATATTATAGAGTTAGTATACTATTATAGTAACTGAAAAATGTAATTTTTCTAAGAAAACAAACAATGCTTGAGATAAATTTGTTTTTATAGCAACTTACCCTAAGATCTAGTTTTGCAAATGTGATAAACCTCATGAATAACTCACAGCCAGAAGATATTGCCGTCACGGGCTGATCACAGTTCCTCATGGCATCCACAGCCAGTTGGAGGTTGAAATCCAACTCTCTCACAGTTGTAACTAAAGACCATGAAAAATAAATAATAAGTATTTATTTCATAGGCACATTATTACATTTTGCTTTTACCTTCATAGTTTTCTATTACGGTAAGAAGAGTTTTTATTGCAGCAACACCAGCTGATACATCTTCCTCTTCTCTCAATATTTTAAGAAAAATATCTTGAACTTCTGCAATTGGAAATTAATGAAAATATTGAGCAACGACCGTACAAAATAAGTCTGTTAAGTGTTGTTTTTTATATACTTTTCACCTTCTTTTTTCATTATATTAGGTTTTATTATTCCACTTAATTAGAATGTTTTTATTGTTTCACTTTGAAATAGAAATCACGCAACCCAAAGAGTAGTATCAAAAAATAAATCCAGCCAACAAACCTGCTGTCATGTTAAATGTCAATGTCATTGTCAATTTAATGATTGTAAGCAAAAGAATGAAATCTATACTGCTACAATAACAAATATTTGTTTCCAATAATAATATTTGTGCATGATATTTAACAGGAGTGTTTGAAACCAATCAAACAACAATAGGAACATAAAAAAAATATTTGATCAATTTTAATAATTTTTTATTTATTTATATTAAACCAAATATTTAAAATGCACTAGTCCGGTGGGATTTCAATCAATAATCCTTCGCAATTCTGGCTACTGTGGTTTTAGAGCAGTCACCAGATCGCTAAGTATTATGGGTTCCCGCTAAATCTTGGGTTACATTTTTTTTAACAAAATTACACAAGTTTATCATTATTGCATACACATCTAAAATCACATCAATCACAATCAAATTTGTCTGATGTGGTACATTTATTTCACTATTTAACAAATATATAGCAATCGCCCGGAATGCGAAAAAATATGGGTTCGAATTCCATTTCGGGCTTCTGGGAATGGCGAATTTTCGTCCATTTTCTGAGCTAAGATGAATTTTATGTATTCACGCCACATTTTACTGGAACTATATTTTTATTCTCCAAATTTGTTATTTATTTGTTGTTTTTATTATTATACTAGAATTTATAGTCTCCAATATTCAGAATTCTATTTTCCATTGGTATTTATGTTTTACAATACTATCTTGCAACAATTTATCTTTGGTTGTAATATTTAAGACGTAGTTTAAATTTGATTACTGATTTGGATTGTCACGATGAATTTATAAGTTGCTTTATTGTTTGGTTATAATACGAAGCGTGTTAAAATAAATGACATACATATTGTGCCTTAAACCATTTGTAAATTAACCTAAATAGTTTTATGTCATATGTAGACTAGTGTCTCTATTTCATCTAAGTTTTATATCATAGTCGAGTGACACGTTACATCAATCACAAATAAGATATTATATTAACGGTCCGGATTTATGAGGCCCAAGGTTGGTTATGCCTGGGACTCAATTCTACTAGTACTTGTATTTTGCCATTATGTACCTACTATCTACCAAAAGTTCAATCAATGGTGACAGATTTATTTATATTTTGTGGTAACAAGAACTGTGTCATAAAGGGTTCAAGTTGAAGAGCTATTGACTTTCTATAATTACCTTAACATTAGCAGAATTGCCTACTGGCATGAGAGTACAAATTATATTTTCAATAGATTTACTATAAATATAAATCTATGGAATTTTCTGTTTTATCAAACTTGTATGATAAAATGCTATTATGGGAACCTGAAACAAGGATGGTGAATTTTCTCTCTATAACACCATAAAGCAGAGCCACATCACTCATAGTAAACACGAAGCACGATTTTGTTATTTTAACCATAGAACAAAATGACATTAAAAAACTTTTATTTAACTAGTTGACTCGACAGCTGAATCTGATCAGTTTTTTATACATCTTCTTTGACGTTATTTTCAGTTAATTCTATGTCAAACGTCATAAGGTTACAATTAGGCTAGATTAGAAATAATTTTATATTCTTAAATTTTCAAATTTTGCTTGATTTTTCTTTCATAAGAACCTTCTCCTGACAATAACAAAAACAACAAAAAAAAAAACCAGTGATGGCGTGACCAAAAGAATTGGGATTCATTTAATATACTTTAATAGTTTTTTTTTAAGTATAAACGAGGAAAGATAATGAGGTGTGTGTAGATTATTAATATTAACGTTAAGTTAAAGTCCAGACTTCAATGCTTCAACCAAAGTTTAATGAAAAAACGTAAAATGATTCGCCTTCATGAGAAGTATTAAATGAGTATTTTTCATTTAAGAATAAGTCTTTTTATACAGTCTGTATCAACATCAAATTTTCAACCTGATTTAATGCTTCTATTTATTGTATTAAATAGGAAACAATCGAACTAGTTCAGCGGGTCAACGGAACTATAATAATGATTGTTGGCTTGAAGGTATTGATTCTTTAATAGTGCTTATCAACTTCATATTTCAAACACTTTGTAAACTTTGGAATTACTATTTGTGGTACTTTATTATTTTACACTAAAGATAATATATCAACCGTCCTAATTCCTCTGAAAATTTTGGTTTTAGTGTGTTGGTTAGTTTTTACCCGACTGCGCGACGCAAGGGAGGGTAATGTGTTTATCAGTCTATGTATGTATGTATGTTTGTTTCTATGTGGCGTTCTAGAGACCAAATGCCTAGGCCGATTTTGATGATTCTTACGTCAATCGATTCGTCTAAACCCATTCAAATTTTACCAATAAAATCTTCCTAAAGGGTCCCGACTATGAGTCGTTCTGCATTAGAATTTATGATTTGTTTTATGTGTGTATCGATAAAACTATTTCAATTGTGTAGTTATTTAGTATAACTTAACAGAATTTTAAACAACTTGGCTTGTTTCTTTCTTTTTAGTTTTTATTTAAGTTAATTTGTTCATTTATTTTTAAAATTCGTTTTTACGCAGTCGGGTTTTTTGTTTTTCTTTAAATTATTCAGCAGATTCTTAGATTAAGGTGCTATTTTACTAAAAATGCGCTCACAGAACTGTCACAACATTAAAATTTCAATCGAATAAAACCACTAACTTAAATATATATAGAGGGTATTTTAATAGTTAGAGTAATGTTCACAAAGCATGTTCACAAACAGTTTTATAAGGACATGAAAAATATGGTTTCAATGAGTATTATGAATGAAAAACGCGCCTTTTTTGATCAGTATATCAACAAAAATATAAATAATAGCAAAATCTTTTGGAGAAACTTAAAAAGAAAAATTTTACCGACTCAAGATAAATACGATCTCCTTCCAGAGTGCTTTGACAATCCGCATTCTATAAATAATCATTTTTTGAAGGTGCCTGGCTCGGAAAAAGTATCCATCTCTCAGTTGTCTTTTTTCGAGCATCATCGGTTTAACATCGTCACGCCTCCGTTTAAATTGCATACTGTTACTGAAGCTGAGGTTTCTAAATACATAATGACAGTGAAATCAAACGCTGCTGGCTGTGATGAAATTAATAGGGACATGGTGATGCTGTCGCTGCCACGTACGCTCTCGGTAATCACTTCCATAATAAACAGGTCAATAGTCTCCAGTACGGTCCCTGATCAGTGGAAGACTGCACTAATTACACCATTGCCTAAAGTTGAATCTCCTAGTGAGCCAAATGATCTTAGACCAATAAGTATATTGCCCTTCCTGTCCAAAATATTGGAAAAGGTTGTATATTGTCAACTGGTGAAGTATGTGGAGGCAAATAATATATTACCACTACATCAATCCGGCTTTCGGAAGGGTCGTGGCACTGTGACATCATTGTTGGATGTTACTGACAATATTCTTGCGGAACAGGATGTTGGTCGCGTCACATTATTGACGCTTCTTGATTTCTCGCGTGCCTTTGATGGTCTCAGTGTCCCTCTACTTTTATCTAAGTTAGCCTATTACGGCTGCGATCCGAACTCGATTAAGTGGTTTAGTAGCTATTTCAGCAATCGCTTTCAGTCGGTTAGACTCCGCAGGCAGGACGGATCTTTTATGAATTCCAGCCCGGAACCTGTAAAGCGAGGTGTACCCCAAGGCTCCATACTTGGACCTCTTCTCTTTATTATATATACGGCTGATTTGCCAGCAGTTATTAAATATTGTAAATACCACTGTTATGCTGACGATGTGCAATTATATATTTCTGGGACTCAACATGAAATAACCCAAACCGTTTGGGAGATGAATGAAGACTTAAAAGGCGTAGCTATGTGGTGTGATGAGAACGATTTGGTTCTCAATAAGACAAAATCCAAATTTATGGTCCTGGGAGCGAAAAACCAAACTGCTATTATTCTGAACAATCCCCCGAGTATCAAAATTAATGGTAGTGACATAGAGCTAGTCAATGAAGCAAACAATCTTGGAATGATTTTTGATAGTCAATTGCGTTTTGAGAACCATGTGTTAGGTACTGTTAGGAATTGTTTTTACCGGCTGAAGGTACTGTATAGGATACGAAATTTTCTATCGGAAAAAGCTCGTATCGCCTTATGTGAATCTTTAGTTTTATCAAGGTTGAATTACGGCGACTTGGTTTATGGTCCTCGTCTGCTGTGTAGGACTCAGATTCTTATACAGCGGATTCAGAATGCGTGTTGCCGTTTTTGTTTTAATATCCCACCGCGTACTCATGTCTCGCCTTTTATTAATAACGCCTCAATGTTGAATATGGAGTCGCGCCGTTACCTACATCTAGCCATGTTAATGTTTGACATAATTAAGTTAAAAAATCCGAAGTATTTGCTAGATAAATTGACATTCCGTATTCGTGATTTGAGAGTACCAAGGGCCGTGAGGCCTCCACTGGTCATCCAAGTGCATAAAACTGTGGCATTTAGGGGTAGTTTCCGTTATCAAGCGACAAAATGCTGGAACAATATACCACCACCAATAAGGCAACTAACATCTAGATTGTCATTCAAAAAACAAATTAAAACGAATCTACTTGATATACAAAAATTGGGAATAAACTCCAGCCGACGCATGATGACGGTTGCTGGTGCTATCTGCCTCTAAATAGGGACGTTTTGGTAAAATTAACAAAAATATTCTCTTTATATTGTGCTGTTTATCCATGTTATATAATTTATGTATACTGTTTTTTCATGCTCCGACATATGTAATCTGTGATAGTGACTATATTTAAAATATTTATTATTCTTACAATTTAAATTTTGAAATTAGTTGATTAATTAAATGAATGATATTATATTCCATTATAATACTTGTGATTGAATGCAATTTTTAATCGGACTATCATATCAAAGTGAAGCTATAGTTTGAGATCGTGCTAGCACTCTGGGTAAAGGCTGAAAATCAGCGCTTTGCTCCTTGAGCAAAGGAATCGTTGAGCTTTTACCCTTTTGCATTGTTGTGGCGCACACGTTAAAGCGAATTTTTTTTATTGTATTTTTTTTTATTGTATTAGAA